TTCTGCTCCTGCTTAAGCTCCAGGCCATTGTCTTGATCAGGACCCCACTCCTCCTGCCTTGTTAGTGACCTTGGGTCTCTTCTCTCTTGGATTTTCATTAGGTCATTGGTTCCTGTAAGCACACACAGGTACATACTGTTATGTAAGAAAAGGGCGTCTAGCAGAATCTCCTTTCTCTGCTCTCAGCATGTACAGCCTTGCTTCATTCCTTCTCTTGGACACAGACCTCTTGCCCAGTGCGTAGCCCAGGTTCTGTCTGCCTCTTTTCTCTGCCCTGCTGTTCTTACTATGGCTGTGCACCTTTAAAAGGTGCTCGTTCTGCAGCCATCACTTCTCTATGACTGTCAGCACTTGTCAGTTTTTGTTTTCTTTATTCATCTCTAAGGGAATGCCACTTCCCATGATGCCCAAGATGGGAGTTGTGCTGTCCTTCTACCTGGCTATTCTTTCTCCTTTGGCTGCTGCCACTTCTCCTCTTGCCAACCCAGCCCCGTCTCTTTAGAATGTCTCCCTGCTACATTATATTCTTGGTATGTTAAATTTTGCTTACTTTTTAGAAAGGATACCCTCTTTCTTTTTATTCAAGATATCATGTATTTTGTTTCTCCAGGCTAGGATGTTTCCTGTTGCCCAAATCATCCATTAGTGATGATTAGATTCCTTTAATCTAATAAAGGTTCATATGGAGGACCTCTTTCCTAGTTAGTGGTACTATTGCTATGTGACACCATCACCAAAGCAAGTTGGGGAGGAAAGGGTTTATTTGGCCTATACTTCCACATCATAGTCCATCACTGAAAGAAGTCAGGGAGGGACCTGGAGGCAGGAGCTGATGTAGAGGCCATGGCGGGATGCTGTTTACTGATTCATTCCCGTTGGTTTGCTTAGCCTACTTTCATAAAACCTAGGACTACCCCTCAGGGGTGCCACCATCCACAATGGACTGGACCCTCCCACATCAATCACTAATTATGAAAATTCTTACAGACTTGCTTGCATCCTGACTTTTCGAATGCATTTTCTTAATTCAGAGTCATAACACACGCATGCATGCACGTGCACGCACACACATACACTCACTTTCTTTTCTTTTTCTTTTTTTGAGACAGGGTCTCTCTGTCCTGGAACTCACTATGTAGACCAGGCTGGCCTTGAACTCATAGATCTCCACCTGCCTCTGCTTCTTAAGTGCTGGGATTAAAAAGTATACACTACCATACTCTGTCTATATATGCTTTTATTTTAAATTTATTTATTTATTAAGGATTTCTGCCTCTTCCCCGCCACCGCCTCCCATTTCCCTCCCCCTCCCCCGATCAAGTCCCCCTCCCTCAGCAGCTTGAAGAGCAATCAGGGTTCCCTGACCTGTGGGAAGTCCAAGGACCGCCCACCTCCATCCAGGTCTAGTAAGGTGAGCATCCAAACTGCCTAGGCTCCCCCAAAGCCAGTACGTGCAGTAGGATCAGAAACCCATTGCCATTGTTCTTGAGTTCTCAGTAGTCCTCATTGTCCGCTATGTTCAGAGAGTCCGGTTTTATCCCATGCTTTTTCAGACCCAGGCCAGCTGGCCTTGGTGACTTCCCGATAGAACATCCCCATTGTCTCAGTGTGTGGGTGTACCCCTCGCGATCCTGAGTTCCTTGCTTGTGCTCCCTCTCCTAAATGTAGGGGTCCAGTTTAACTTTGCTATGGTATCTCCATAGGTGAAAAAGTTAAAAAAAACCACACATTTTCAAAAGGGCTACTACTTTTTATTTAATAATTTCTAGTAATTTATTTTCAAAAGACATTCCTTTCTTAGCAGCATTTCTTGAATTTACCAAGTGAAGAATTCTTCAAGTTCAATTGAATTGTCAAACCCTAGACAGTCTTTGACATTCTGCTCATGAGTCAGGAGTCAGTGGGTTTAGTTCTGAATGAAATAGGTGGAACTTAGTTAGATGGGCCACAGAAGTATTTATTATTGGGAAATATTCCAAGTTAAGTTCTCTGGAGCCAAGAAAGCTCCAATCTTACTTAGCCAGCTGTTTGAGGAGGCTAAGAAAGCTCCAGTCTTACTTAGCCAGCTGTTTGAGGAGGCTAAGAACGTCTCCTGCTTTGGCCACAGTTTCCTTGCACATAAACATTCTGTAATGTGAGTGAATCTGGAGAAAGCTGTCATCAGAGAGCTGCAGAGATGGCTCAGCACTTAAGAGCACTGGCTGCGCTTCACCTGGTAGCTCACAACTGTCTGTAATTCCAGTTTCAGTGAAGTCATTGCTCTCTTCTGACCTCCTTGGGCACCAGGCACATTTGATGTACACATCCACACATCCACACATCCAGGCAAAACACTTATACACATAAAATAAAAATAGATGTATATATTTAAAATAACAAATCTGTACTCAAGAGAAATACAAAGATTGTACATTCTGTTTTTTCTGGAGTAAATAGTGTCTGAACTCTGGTTTTCTAGATTCATAATAGTAAAGAAACTGTATATTTAACTCATCTTTGAATTCCCCAGAATCAAAGAGATTTTATTAATTGATGGGAATTAGGAAGTATTGTTTTTATCCTGTGATTTTTTTGTTTAGTATAATCCACACTAGTATTTTTATTTTAATTTTTTGCTTTTTATTAAGGGCTAGAAAGTGTGAAATATCAAATTAAAGCATTTTTCTTTATTTTTAAAAATCACAGTTTAAAAGCATTTGTGCTCATGTGGAAACAGTAATTTTGACTATCTGCAGGATTACTGATTTAACAAGCATTTGTGTACTTATGCTGTAACTATGTGAGGATGAAGTGACTCATTTTTCTTGTCAGCAGCGGTGCTTCTGGGTAGGTAGGGTGTGGAGTCTCCCCGGACTCTGACTGGTGGGACGAACACAGGGCCCCTGTCACAGCTTCGCAGCCCCACTAGCAGCTCCTATCCCTTGTCCCTTAAGAGCAGCATAAAATCGGTCCTGACAGATCAGATGAGGATCTGGAGTAATCCTCAGGGAAGAGAAATTCAGGCTTTGTTTGAAGTGACAAAATCGGATTATTTTTCTCAGGTCTTTTGTTCCTTTGCGGTACTCTGAAAGGATGCTACAAACATGTAGTTGAAATATAACCACATAAGCAGTAACTAAGTTAATTCATTTCAGAATGTGGGTGCACATGAATCTAATGCAGTTTTGCATGCTGCTGAAGGATGAGGTTTATTTAATGAAAATAAATAGGATATTTTCCACTAGATGTTTAATCCAATAAACCTTTCATATAGTCATTTGTTTTCCTTCTGTGAAAATGTAGTGTCTAGAAAAAAATGAATGAATGAGCAAGGGGTGTGTGAAAAGCGAGGCAGCCAAAGTGTATTTAGCTAACTGCAGCCAGCAGTAAAACCAGACTGTGGGGCTGTGCAACTGGTAACCAACCCGAGGTCAGACGTAGGCCTAAGAAACTGCTCATATTCTGAAATAGCAACTGACTCTAAAGTTGCGGTTGATGGAAAGGGATAGATAAATATCTGCCTCAAAGCACATCCCATGCTATGTGACTAGCCTGCCTCTGTGTGATTTGTTTTTATTACCACTAATTTACTGTCATACTTCCTTCCTGAAGATTTTTCTGTGGACTTTTGTCTTATGATCTCTCCTTTTTGGTAAAAGTGCCACACAAACCTAAACAATTTGGGATGTAATTATCTATAGGATCTGTAAGATAATTCTTTCTGAAGATTTTCACTTGATCTTTGATGTTTTTCACATTAATTTCCAAAATGTAAACATTTGTTTTATATGAATGAAGACAAAGCATCTGATGTTGCTCTTCATAAATTTCTAATGATTCGTTTTATGTAAGATTTCTGCATTGCTTATTTGTGTTGATTTATGTGGAAAGCTTTAATTTCTTAATTATTATTTAATTAAATTTTTTTTGTGGAAAACATGGTTTGTTTTCAAGTGAAAAACAATCTTATTTGAACTACGTGTGAAGTACTAGAGTAGTCAGCTCATGTTTAAAGTGCTGCTAGACGTCTTTTGGAATTTGGAATTAATGTTTAAGAAATTTTGCACCCTGATTTTTAGTTTTAAAAATGCACCATAAGATGGTGGCAGTTGTGCAATTGAGCTGTAGTTGCCCACTGGATACACAGAACCCAGTCTCTGGCCCCTGAGGCCCTTTACTTGGGGTAGAGTTGAGACTGATAGCACTTGGTGTGTTAGCTCTGTCATGGGTTTCAGCAGCCCTTTTCCAGAGATGCTATTAATCCATTCTTAATTACCCTTTAAAAACTCATTTGAAATATTCAGCTTTCTTTTAGGCAGAATTACGTACATGACCTAAATACTTACTCGTACTAATCAAAGCCAGCAACACCACCCTTTACCACATTTAGAAAGGAGTCTGGGAGAAGTGAAAGGAAACAGGTGTATGAGTGTTTCTAAAGCTGTTAATACTGCAGCTAGAGATCCACACACAGAAATCACATTTACTTCCTGAAATAGATTGCAAAATCAAACTTATTTTTAAAAGGCTGTCTTAAATCTACCTAGTAGCTTTCCTACTACTCAGAATTAGAGTTTAAATATGAGCATTTAAAACTGAATAAAGCAAAACTAATTATTGACATCGTATATTCTTCATGGGAATTTAGAATGGAATGTTTTGGTCTAGTCTCTGAGACTGTGTTTGATTATTATTACTACTTACTACTTTTATATTTTATTTTCAAGCCATAACTTGTGTTTTTATAAAGTATTTTAATTGAAAATGTATTATATTACATTAGACCCCAAGGCAGGCAAATAGATTGTTAAAAGAAATGATTTTTAGTAGCATGAATTTAAGTTATGAATTTTATTTCGCTCTGTTGCTAGGATTATTTAAACCTAAATGTCAAAATATTTAATCTTATAAGATACAGAGAAATTAACCTTAAAATTGTGTTAAAATATGAAAATTGATCATTTTAAGGATGTTGGCATCTTCCTGCGCTTCCTTTACTGATGTGTGTCGATTGTTTGCAGGTCCTGCGATACTGTGGAAATTCCCAGAGGACTTTGGAGACCAGGTTGGGAACAGAATTTAAAAGCTTTTTAAATTGAAACACTCTATTGTTACTATGAACTGCTGATACTGTATATGAATAGCTGCAATTATTTTTCTTGATAAAATTTGAGAATGACAAAGTGTGGAGAATATACAGAGGAGTTGTTAGTGACCTTGCAGGTGAGTTAAGAAGTACTTACAGTGAGAATCATAGCAGCTGGGTGTCTGTGGTCTCAACATAGTTCTACATTTTCATCTAGGGGATATATATTTGGGTACAATAAAAGCTCCTAGTCATAAAAACTTAACACTATTAATTTTTGATTGGATATACGCATTATTTCCGTACACTTAGAAAGAAGTGTAATGATATAAATCAGTTTTTGTCACAATGATTTTGGAATCACTTACATTTAGAAATTATATTAGGACTATTTCCTTATTTCTGAATAATTTTTATCACTTTATTTTCTTAGAAAGCTAAAATGTCAGAAGGAAACTACAGGACGAATTTCTTGGTTGGCATTTTTTAGTCTTCTGTAGTTCTTTAATACTTACTATGACCAAAACCCAACTACTTTGATGTGAGTGCATAGAAAAATATTTTAAAATTAATGTTATGGGAATATCATTTTGAGATTGAATTATAGTTTGCGCTAATTTGTTTTGGTGAAATTCCCCAGATACCTAATAAATAAGTTCCATTCTTTTGCCTAAAAAGAAGTGAGATAATAACAGTTGTATCACTATTAAAGTAATCTCACCAGCTCATACTTTTAGTTCTCAGGTATGATTCCCACAATTCGCAAAAAGTCAATCTTACAAAAGGGTATCATTACAAGTATTCATTCAGAAATAGTATGCATGATTTTGAATATTGTGAAAGGATAATTTTCGAGATTGGAATGTCAACCTGAAAGATGGGAAATTGGGAGTCAACTTGAACGAACCAATTAAATGGGCATGTTAGGTACTGATCATGTCTGTTGCCCTTGACCATGACTTCAAAGAAAAAGGGTATTTATTCTTAAGTTGCTTTTAGCCTTTAGTGAATGATGGATTTATAAATATCGTAAATATTCTTATAAGTCCTTCCAGTGAAGGGGTGACTTTGACATAAGCAGCTAAGTGTGTTTATATTCTCCAGTGATTCTGGACTCTTTCTACCGGTCTGAAATGCTTGTTTCTTTATCTCCTCAGTGTCTTTTGTCCACTGCCCTACAAGCATCCTCATGTCCCCTTTCAAGTGTTATTACATTATTTTTATTTCTCCCTTTAAAACTTTTCCTTAGAATCCTTGGGACCCTAGAGAGGCCTAACTGTGGGATCACATATGAAGATACATACTTGCCTGTCCACCTGAGCAGACTTTAGTGTGATCACCTGTTGCTGGTCCTCTTGGTTAATAAAATGCTGTTTGTGCATTTTGATAGAATGCATCTGTCAGTGTTCCTGCATTTGGTCTAAAGCAGGAGCAGTTCACTGTGTAAGTGGCGATGATGCCCATAAACCCCAGGGATCCAGTGTACTTTAGTCCTCACAGTCTTTGGTTTTGTCTTTTCCAGTACAGTCTCCCTGTGTGGCCCTGACTGGCCTGGAACAGATCGCCTCTCCTCTGCCTCCAGAGTGCTGGGACTAAAGGCTTGTGCCACCAACAGAGCATCATCACAGTCTTTTAAGATTTTTATTAGCATTTAGTAATTGTACAAAATGATAGATTTCATTATGACATTTCATAATATGTATAGTACACTTTGATCATCTTCAGTTCCCTGCTTCACCCTGCTCCCCTCTCCCACTTTCCCTAACTGTACCTCCAAATCCTCCTACTGCTTTCATATATTATTTCTGTTTTCTTTAATTACTATTGTTAATATATACACATATAAATATGACAGTATCAACCTACCAAATCAGTTTAATATTGCTTATATGCATGTTCTTAGTGCTGACCACTTGGGACTGGATAACATATCAGGGGCTCATCCCTGGGGAAGATGGATTTTCTCTCTTAGCAGTCATTCATTGCCTATAGCTCTTAATCTAGTAGTGGGGCTTTATAAGACTTCCCTCTTCCTCATTGGCGTGTTGACTTTATTGTTATGGACCACGTTTTATTTAGGCTACTACATTGCTGAGATTTCACCTTAATCTTAAACCCCAACATGAAAATGAATTCTTATGAGGCTTTCTTGAGCTTCTACAACCACCTGTGTGTAATTTCATAGCTTATTTTTTGTATCTCAAGAGCCATCCTCCTTCCTCTTTGCCACCTCCCTCCCTCTCATTTTTTTTTTCCGTTTAGTTTCCACATACCACTGTGGCTGTCACATAATAAAGTGTGGATAGATGTTTATTTAGTTGAGTGAGTGACATATTAAATAAAGAAAGTTGAGTAAACTCATGATAAGTTATCTTGACCACAGTGGGAAAAACAGGCAATTAATGTTCTAGGAAGTCTAGTCTGAGAGCTCCGTGTAAAGCTCGGTTTAGAAAGAGCTCAAGGGATATGCCAAATATAATGGGGTTTCATTAAAGTATGAATGAAAGATGTGGCTTTGATGAGGAGTTTGCAGCTTGAAGTTTAGAGCACTCACCACTGACTCCTGATGAGTTCCTGACCAGGGTTCCTCCTCCTCCCTTTCGTTTCCATAGATAAAAGTACTGAGAAGGCTGCTGGAAAAGGCCAGATGCCTCAGTTACTGCAGCCACGTTAGCAACGTGCCGTTCAGTAGCAAATCGTGTAGGAAGTATCTGGAAAGTTTAAATTATAATCTTAGGTGTGTCATCGGAAAGACATTTTCACGTGTGCATTTCAGCTGTGTCCTTTGTAGAGGCTGCCAGCTAGCTGCCTGACAGTCAGGCTCGGCAGTTCACACTGTCTTTTATGTTCAACCAAGTGTAGCTGTCTCACTGTGCGGTTCAGAAGGAATGCCTCTTGAACATGTGACCACTTAGAGTTTTATATATTCATTCATTTTTCTCTCCCGGACTGACTTAAAAAGAAATTTGGATAATGCAAAGATTTTCATGATTTAACACTGAGCAGTATTGATATATGGGTATTTTGTAATTTTATTTATTATCTCACTTATGAAGATCTAAGTTATTTGGCAATAACTTATTGATTTTAGTATAACAAAATAATTATGAGCAGTTATGGACTATTCAGAAATTAATTTTTAAAATATTTTTTGCTTGGTACAGTCACAAGCTGACTTTTGATGTGAAAGTCAATTTTATTTCACTGCTCTTGTGAGGGTGTGTGTGCATACACATGTATGTGTTTGGACAGGCCTATTCCTATGACAACATGATTAACTTTTAAGAATATCAGATTTTTTTTAAAGAGAATAGGTTAATATAAAAATTATAATTATATTTGGATGCTTACTTTGTTTCATATTTCAAACATTTTATAGCTATCTTAGTAACATTAGAATGCCAGTTCTTGTCAGTGTGCTTTTGGTTGGTAGGAATATACAGGACTATGTTCTTCATATGTATTGAGAAGAGAATCAGATTGTCAACTATTATTATGAAGATGTGGTTTAGTTCCTTTGCAGGTACAGTGTTGGGAAATTTAATATAAAGCATGACTACACTCTTAAGTTACTGTAAAATGTGTTTTATATTTTTGAATTGTTGAACTTAAATTTTTCATTGCCAACAGTAGGGAGCTAATTTGGAAAAAGTGATATTTTCTAAATTTTGTTTTATGGAATAGGTCTTTTCTGGCAGTGGAACGAACATGCTCTCACAAGTTTGCAGTGAAAAGTATTTAAGAAACATTTGGCATTGTATTTGAATATTAAAATGCATTTAACATTAACTTTGTATTTGAAACCCTATTAAAAATGACATAACTGTTCTGCTCAAGGATGAAAATTTTTACTTTAGTGAGCTTCTAGAGGTAGGGTAGTTATATTTATTTTATATTAATGAAATTGCTCTAACTCTACAAATGATTTAGTCCAGATAGGCAGACACGACTCTACTCTGGCAGCCTGTAGAAGTAAAGTCATATGTGATGCAGTCGAAATAAATACAAGTTTTTTTACAGAAGCTTTTTTATTGGCAAAAGTCAAGTTCTACAGCATGTTCGAGGGAAGCAGAATGGACAAATGACATTTCCATAGTGACGTCATATAGGTTCTCCCAAACAGACTGAACAGTGTGGAGTCTTAGTTAAAGAGTTTGTTGCTCTGGCAGGTCAGAACTCTACATGTAAGTTTGTTTTTACTTTTTTTTTTTTTAAAAAAAGAAGTTGAAGTTAGTTGAGTATGAAACAAAAGATGAATAGAGTAAGATATCTAGATGTTACTTTATGGAAATTATGCCTGTTGAAATTGCTATAAAGCCTTGGGTTCACACGGACAAGGCTGTGTTGAATCAGCCTTGCTCATATCTGCATGCTGCTTTAAAAATGAGTCTTAAACAATTCTTTAGATTTAAGCAGAATGAGGCCTGGGATGAGCAGAATGAGTACTCACTGATTGTACCCTTCTGTATTTAGGGACTGCTCACTCCTTTCTCAACATATCCTTAGCAGACAGACTTTTAAAAAGAAGTATTGTTGGTTGCTTCTCAGTGTTTAAAGTTCTTGCCTGAAATAGTTCTGCAAACAAGTGGTGTGAAGACACTTCACGACTAAAAAATTTAAGTTTCAAACTATTCTATAGCAGCTAAAAATGCTGAGCTTGGTCAGCATATGGTACTAGCTAGCCTCATACCCACCCGCTCTTTTGTTGTCTTGTTATTGTTGTAGGGCTTAATGACAGTTGTAAGCCATAGTTGGGGATGCGGGGGCTAGTCCACCCTGGGGAGAAGAGGAGGAAACTGCAGTGTGGATTATGGAAATATGGATTGATCTAAAAAGAAACCTCTTTTTAAAGAAAGGGGCTCCCTCAAAGGAAAGCTCAGAGAAACCAATGAAAAGATGATGGAATATGATGTAAAAATGATCACTTGAAATCTTTCTTTCATTCCCAGCTGCTGTATTTTGGAGAAAAGAAATGCATT